CATATTACAGTGAGTACTATCCATACACTTTGCATATGGGGACCCGCTCGGGTCCCCGAAAGAGGCGTACTTTTTTTTTTTTTTTTTTTTTTTAACCGGGGCCTTCCCTGGTGCTTGCACGGGCTGGCGACCGGGGACCCGGGCGGCCCGGCTGGTAGCCTAGGTGAGTACTATCCAGACACTTTAGATAGTACAACAAGTAGACTTTGCTGTATCCATATGCTTTGCATAGTACAAGGAGTACTATCCATACACTTTGCATAGTACAAGGACTAGTATAGACTTTGCACAGTACAAGGACTCCTATAGACTTTGCATAGTAGAACGAGTACTATCCATATCTATACGCTTTACATAGTACAAGGACTACTATAGACTTTGCTGTGCACAGTAAAAGGACTACCATAGAATTAGCATAGTACATGGACTGCACTGACTTGCACGCTCAGCCGGGCAGTACTATCCATACCCTTTTGGAGAGTACAACGAGTACTATCCATACCCTTTGCATAGTGCACTATCCATACGCTTGCCACAGTACAAGGACAAGTACAGACTTCGCACAGTACAAGGCAAGGACTACTATAGACTTGCATAGCACAACCAGTACTATCCATTCGCTTTGCATAGTCCAATGCGTACCATCCAGTTGCTTTGCGTAGCACAATGAGCACTATCCATACACTTTGCACAGTACATTCAGTACTATCCATACACATTCCACAGCACAAGACCTGGATGACAGCGCCTTTTTGACTGTACGGGTCTTGGATTGTCAAACTGTACGGGTCTTGGATATTCAAACTGTACGGGTCTTGGACAGCGCCTAGTTGACTGTACGGGTCTTCGATAGTCAAACTGTACGGGTCTTGGACAGTGCCTACTTGACTGAACGGGTCTTTGCACAGTACAGGACCTGGATGACAGCGCCTAGTTTACCTGGATGAGTACTCAGACCCGTACAGTCAACTACCTTCTTCCCCCGAATACAACGTACGGTCATTATAGCTGTATTTAGACTGAAAGCTGCCCCAAATACAGCTATAAGGACCGTACGTTGTATTCGGGGGAAGAAGGTAGGCGCCAGTATAGACCCTAGAGGCATGCTGCAAGGGGTGAAGCAAAGAAAGACCGAACCATTAATCAGGACTCAGAAAAAAATGAACCTCCGTTCCGGAGTAACTTGAGATGAAGGTATGGGCCGTAACGAGGGGAAGCGTGCGTTGTAATTGAATCCCATTTTCCCATTTCGACTTGCAGGTGGAAGAGGAACCGAACTGCGCCTCACTTTCTTTAGAGTTAAAAACAAAAAGGGAAAAAAAAAAAAGCTCAAGAAGTTGAGATAAAGGAAGAAGAGCACATAGACTGTGCCACATGAGCGCTGTAGGATGCAATAACAGAAGAAATCAGAACAAACAGGAATATACACTGCTTTTTGAAAGCAACACCCCGACGAACATCTAAGGGCATACTCACACTAGGACTTTTTTACTTATTTCTGGACGGAATTGCTGCCAGATGCATACAAGTGTGGCCGAAATTAAGGTCTGATGGATTATCGGAAGTGCTAGTGTGAGTATGCCCTAAGAGTAGCAAGTTCGGCTTGGCAGATCAAAAGCGTCAGCGACACAGAAACATAGGCAAATTGCTTTTTTTTTTTAAGAGAGARAAAAAAAAAAAAAAAAAAAAAAAAAAGCTTATATGGGCCTGCCTGCTATGAGGGCCTAGTTCGAGCTCAAACAGACAAAGACGACTGGCCTGACTTTCAACAAAACTGCACCAGGACAAACAAGAATATACAATGTTTTTGAAAGCAACGCCCCGACAAACATCTAAAGAGTAGCAAGTTCGGCTTGGCATATCAAAAGCCTCTAGCGACACAGAAACCATAGGCACATAGCTCTTTTTTGAAAAAAAAAAAAAAAAAAGAGCTTATCTGGGCTTTTTGCTATGGGGGCATAGTTCAAGCTCAAACAGACAAAGATGTCCGGCCTGACTTTCAACAAAACTGCACCTCAAGGGGTTCCAAGTGTCAACAAGATAAACACAGAGCTCGACTGCTCTCCGCGCACCCATAAAAAAGATTAGTATCAGCTCCCGTGCAACCACCCACGCACACAACCACCCGCCCGCCCGCCCATTCGAAGACGGAAAATAAGAGCTACTTACCTCAAAACTACGCGATTAGAGTATTTCACAGCAAACCTAAAACTGCATAGGACTCTCCCTCTCCCATTCAACCAATGCTGCCGATGAACATCCTGCATCCTCCTGTGCAGTCCGGGCCATCGGAAAACAAAAAAAAAAAAACTTCCAAACAAACAAAAAAGTTGAAACAAGTTCAAAAAAGTTGAAAAAAATTCAAAAAAAAAACTATCCCTACACAACCATACCAGGGCGTAACCGCATAGATCCCAATTACCAACAGGCTGATAAGAAAACCATACTTACTTCTACTCCAGTGAGTCTTCTTAACTTCGCTTTATCCTTTCGAGTCCTTATTCGCCACGGAAGGAGTCGATTGCTGTCTTCTTCCTGAAACCACCCATTTAACACTTAACCATTATAGTATATAAAAAGAGTTAAGAGGGTGCACAGACCCAAGCAACACCTCCAAAACGAACGGAGTCGCCGTAAACCATCAGATTGCTACTGCTGCTTCCCTCCACACACACTTCAACAACATATGATAAAGCTGAAGTGCAAACCCCATTAGAATGCACAGATGGCTGAGATGGGATGTTTATCTTGCTACCTTCTGAGGGCCAGGCCCTTTCAGAACCCCTTTCTGCGGAATACATACATATACTTGTTCAAGTGCCACCGCGGTAAAGCAGTCGACGGAAGAAATTTTGTCCCTTCTAGACGTTTAGAAATTCTAGAAAGCTTCGATTCAACAGACTAAAAAAATGGATGAAAAAAAAGCGACCACGTACAGCTCTCGTGCAAGAGAGAAGCGCTGCACAGTCAGTCGCAAAGATGCTACTGGCACGGTGAGTGTGAAATAGCAAACGAGAATCAGTCCCAGTTGGTCCCGACCGGTCCCATTGCCGCCTATGCTGCGATCGCACGCGGAGAAACGAGGGCGCAGAAGAGGAAGGGGTGCATAAACACAATCATGCCGGTGCTTGCATATACTTGCAAAGCACGGAGGGATCACAAATTACACAAAAGGCAATAGGTGGCAGGGCATGTGAATTTTCTGCCAAAAATGGCAGTCCTTATTTTGAGGATGAATCACACCCAATAATCAGGTCATGTTAAGAACCTCTCGATATCAAAAATACATACCCGAAGAGAGGTGCTTCCAGCTCCGTGCCGAAAGAGTCCGGTGCAAAAACCAACCCACTAAAAAAGAGGTCCGGGTCAGATAAACTGAGACCCCTGAGGCCGTACCTACACAAGATCTTTCTCGACTGAAAATGGTTTCTCGTGCAAGTCGCGAAACGTCCTGGTGTGAGGCCGCCTTTATTCTCGATTCAGAAGATAGAACACCAGCTGACTAGATTCAGATTCCACATCGGACCAGGATGGAGTAATCGATCGGGATCGGATCCCACTGCCTGAAATGCAGCGCTTATTTTCGCATTAATCTAACCAAAAAAAAAAAAAAAAAAAAAAAAAGTAATGATCAGCAGCCACCATTGCAAAGGGAGCTTCAGCAGTCTTTGGCTGTGACTAGACATTCACCGAGGCAAAGATCGACTAACAGTCAGCTGGGTTAAAAAGCTGTTTAAAAAAAAAAAAAAAAAAAAAAAGAGGAGAAGGAGATGTTCAGGGTGATGGTGTCAAGGAACTGGTCTGGAAGATGGTTAAAGGCATACTCACACTAGCAGTTTCTGAAATGTATCTGACTGCAATGACAGCCGGACCTGGATGAATCTGACCGCAATCAAGTCCAGACAGCTAAGTTAAAAACGTCCTAGGGTGCGTATGCCTTGATTGATTCCAAGAGCTGCTAGAAGACAAATGGAATACAAAAACAACTACGTGGTGGAGATGCAGCGGGGAGAGGGAAAAGGGGGAGGGGGGGCGGAGGGCCGGAGGGGTACTGGATCAATGTAACATCCTTCTATTTAAAGCCAAACCCAATTCCACCCTCATCGAAGGGAGGAAAGGTGAAGATAAGACAGGGATAGAGGGTGCTTGCAGCTGCTAGCCACCTTTTTGCTCAATAAGTAATTACTTCAATCAGTTGTGGCGATCGAGTCAGACAAGATGGTCATCGATGATCACAGCAATCACTCAAAAAAAACAACAAGAAGGGCATTTACACTGACGTGGCAGTGACACCTTCTTTACATTAGCTGGATCAAGATCTGGTCAGATGCAATCAAGCGGTTTCTACTGTGAGCATGCCCAGAAACCAATGAAAACAGCAGCAGCAGCAGCAGCGCCAGGGAGAGCAATAGGAGGAGCAAGGCTGCAATGGTGTGCATGGTGTACATGAAAGAATGATAGCATACTCACACTAGCACTTTATTACTTATTACTTATTTCTGGACGGTGAGGCCAGATGCATACGAGTCCAGCTGTAAATGCGGCCAGGTACATTTAGGATAGTGGTAGTGTGAGTAGGCACAGACGGACGTTGCGAGCGCAGAACTCTTGAACTGCTTCAAGAAAAATCAAGAGAAAAGACAACCCATTGAGGGTACACCTACTTAATCACTATACACCTTGACCCCCACTCATACCTGGCTCGACTACCGGCTCCTCTCTCCCCTGGGCATCACCGACCCGCCTTTCCCGCGTCACTTTCAACCCCTGTCAGTAGTGTCCGCAATAGACAAAGCCCTGCCGCTAATCCCTGTCGGCGTCCGCAATAGATAAGAACCCTTTCGCTAATCCATGTCCGCATCTGCGATAGATAGGAGCCCTTTCGCTAATCCCTCTCAGCATCCGTTGCAGATAGCGCCCTTTCGCTGATCCCTGTCAGCGTCCATCGTAGATAAGAGCTCTTTCACTTGTCCCTGTCCGCAACTATAAGTCTTGAACCCCACTCTTATCTGGCTTGATTAATGCCTCTTCTCCCTCCTTGGCATCGAACCTCTTTTTCTGCTTCACTTGCAATCCCTGTCCGCATTCACAATAGACATAGACAATGCCCTTTTGCTAAGCCCTGTCCGCATTCACAATAGACAATGCCCTTTTGGTAATCGCTGTTCGCATTCACAATAGACAATGCCCTTTTGCTTATATCCCTGTCAGCATCTGAAATAGATAGAGCTGAGCCCTTTCGCTGCTCCTTGTCACGTATCGTCTTCGTCTTCTGCGCCTTCAAATATATTATCAGAATCATCATCGTTTATTCTATGCCTAGCATCCTCCAACAACCTGAACTTCTGTTGTTGGTCCTCTTTCTGTTGCTCATCGTCTTGCTGGCACATACAGTCAGGTGCAGGGTATGTATATATGGACTGGCCTGCACGTCGAAACCGTAGAGCTCCTGTTCGGTTGGAGTGCAGCTCCGCCACTTGCCTCCGAAATTCATCCCAGCTTATTGATCGGTCTGAAAGGATACTCGCAAGCATCTGCGGGTACGGCTTTATCGTCTTTTTAACGCCAACGAATGCGCGGTGACCGGCCTGGGAATACAAGTCGACAGAATCAACCACAAATCAGAACATGTCAATACAACCACGTCAACCCCCCCTGACCCATAACCTCCTAGGTACAGTGCAACATGTCTCAGCATCCACACAATCTCCCGATGATGGCCATTGACGGTGCGAGGGCAAAACATGCTGGGAGAAATGCCATCGTGAAGTGTTCCAAAGCTGCCATACTTTCAATTTCTAATGGAGCACTTCCATTTGTGCGCTACTCTCTCTCTCTCTCTCTCTCACCATCCCCGTCTGTGCAATGCCATTGTGCGTCTGGCGGTTGTGTGATTGCATGTGGTCTGTCCTTCATTCAAGTTCTGCCAAGTCTTCTACCCCCATTGGTTGGCTTGAACCCCCACCACTACTACCACCTTCACCCGAATACAATACACTGTCATGGTGAATGCTATACAACCTACCTATACGCAAATCAGCAAAGTCACACCACAATGGGATTTCACAGGTGTAAGGCGATTGCGATTGTTAAGAACGGCATTCGGAGGACCTGATTGGAGACGGGAAGAAAAGAAATGACTGACATGGATAAGCTAGACATGGTGGAGAGGACCATTAACCCTCTGCGACTCCTTGCCTTTGGCATGCATACAGTCCCACTTTCTCACTATGAAACATACACCAGGGACCTCTTCCATAACCCATCCAAACACATACGCCTGAAGCAGCCCCGCCGCCCCTCCCACCAGCAATGTTCCCATCCACCGACCAACAGCCCCACCCACTTCACCAAAATGTTCCCTTCAACCCCCTTTGACAACTAATCCACACATGCGCCACAATCCTTTGCAAGAAGCGGGCCCCGCCACCCCTCCCACGAGCGATGTTCCCATCCACCCACCTGCAGACCCACCCTCTTCACCAGCAAATGTTCCCCGCAACCCCCCTTAAACCAACAGTACTTGGCCCAGCTATCATATCCGAGCCTCCAGCAACCGGTATGTCGAGCCTGCCAAGCCTGGCAGTACCAGTAGCTGGACCGGCCGAGGCTGGGGGTACCAGTTGAAAAACAAAAACAACAAAAAAACAAACAAACAATGACGCTGTGGATGTGAATGCAGTTGGATGCATTCTCCTGAGAGCTAACGTGAGCACGCCGCAGTTTGGGTGTATCAGCCCCATTGCGTTTCTGTCAGAAAGACTCAGAATCCAAAAGTAAAATAAGGGGAAAAAAAACAAAGAAATGAATCTCAAAGAAGAAATAAAAAACGAAACACGAATTTCCCCCTCAAATTAGTTTAGAATCTTTAGATACATTTGCCTGTGTGCAAGTGTGAGTATGCCCTCCCTCAACGAGGGCTGTTCAGTAGATCACGGGATATGCCCTGCCTTGCCGGCAGGGGAATCTAAGAAAAATGAAAAAAAAACGAAAGCAGAAAAAATAGACATCCAGAATCTACCTGAAATACTAGTTAGAAGCATTCCACCAAGAACAGACATGACCACGACCTCCGCCCAACTTAAAGTAGTTCTTTTTTTTTTTTCGTTTTCCCCCCTCAAATGCGCCGCGTTAACGGGACACGCCCGCGGCCCATAGCTGGGCCAAGTACTGGTGGTTTAACAACTAACCCACAAGCCTCGTCACCCGAAACTTTCCCCTTCACACAGCCGCAATCCTTAGCAAGCTCCCCGTATCCACCCTCAGCACACATGCCTGGATCAGCACACATGCCTGGCTGACCTACTCCCCAAACCCCTAATACACCCCATAACACCTTCCACATGACACTCCCAAGGGCATTTCTAACTAAGCCCCAAACGGACGACAAGGTCTTCACATGCCCTACTCGACACCCTTATTTTCCCCATTCGATGCCCTCTGCCCAGCCTCCATCTTGCACTCTAGCCATGAACACCCCCCCCCCCCCCCCCCCCCCCCCCCCGCCCCTCCTTGAAACACCCACTGTTGCCTGTAGTATTCCTCCGACTTTCGGCCACTCAGAAGCTTTCTACAATGCATCTGCAGATTCTGCACCCAGCAGCACCGCAGAATTTCATACCCAACTAATCTGGTTCTAGGCTACCAGAGTAATATTATATATATTTTTTTTAATTTTAAATTTGGTGAAGTATTTCGATGTGACCCTGAGGCAAAAGTTGTTCAGTTTATTTTTCTGCATAACATAGTTTTTTTCCGTATTTTTTTGGACTTATTTTTTTGGACTTTTTTTTTTGTGCTTCGACCTTCCCTGGTCCTTGCACGGCCGGGCCGCCCGTATTTTTTTGGACTTTTTTTTTTGTGCTTCGACCTTCCCTGGTCCTTGCATGGCCGGGCCGCCCGGGAAAAAAGGTGACCCAGGTGGCCCGGCTGGTAGCCTAGTTTTTTTTTTTTTTTGTTTGTTTGTTTTTTTTTGGTGGGGGGGGGGTTTGCAAAAAAATCACCTCTTCTACACGAAAAACACAATCATGGGAAGATCCAGTCCACTGGCTGCCAGGGCTGGCGTCGATGCACTTCCAGTGTCATAACTTCGGCAATCTTTTACACTTGAAATTAGCAGGAAAAAAAAAAACGAAAAGATCAGGAACCAAAAACGTTCAGGTCCCAGGCAACCAAAAACTGCAGCCATATATGAGAAGGCCTCGCTTCTGATGTACCACCAACCTGCCTGCTGCCAGTTCCATTGTACTCGGTGAGAGACGAACATTTAGTCGAGACCAATGCAGAAGCCAGACATCTGCTGTGTCCTTCGGGACATCCGTACAAAGTGGAACGATACACAAAAGATTAACATGGCCCCTGCGCAAGGATGACACGCGTAAATCAAGAAACGACCCACATTCTTCGGGGGGGGGGGGGGGGAAACAAAAAAAAAAAAAAAAGCAAGGCATATGCAAACTCCCGCCAAACCTTGACAATAGATAAACAGGAGTCGTCAGTGGGAAAATTCGGGACCCAATCTGTTTTGTGAGTGGTCGTCGACTAAATTGAAGCAGCAGGAGGCAGTGAGAAAATTTGGGGCCCAGTCTGTTTCTTGCGTGGTCGTCGAAAAAAGAAAAAAAAAATGAAGCAGCAGGAGTCGGTGAGAAAATTCGGACTCACCAACACATTATACATGTTGCCAGCTGAAGCTGATACAAAGACATCAGCATGGAGGCTCACATGGTAATCAAGAGCAGCAAGCCTGGTAGAGTGGCCGGTGAAATAGCTGAGCTCTTTGGCGGTTGCCAATGACGTCTTATTCACGATCAAGGGGAACATTTCCCTTAGAGGCGTCATGCGTTCCTCGCCACCGTAGACCTGGGGTAGACATGCATACACAGAAAACAAATGGTTAAAGTTTGACCAACAAATCATGCTTTTCGGTATTGGACATGGTTAACCTCGTAAACCACGTGCGCCGCAGATCTGTGGGTGTTTTTTTTGGGCAATCAGGAGACATAAAGACTTGCGAGCAAAGCCTAGCTTACAAAATATACCTTACTGAGGCTTACTCTACACGCATTCGGACGAGTCCAACATTTTGAATGTACTGGGTCCACAAATCGTCCAAATACATGTACAGTGTTGTGTAGCGGAGCGAGGCCCTTGTTCATCTCTTTTATCAGTTGCTCGACATGCCCTCATCACTTACTTGCGGAACACCAATGTGTATATGGCAGCTAAAGAGACGAACAAGTATATATATATATATATAGTCACTCTGTGAACCGGAGCGCAAAAGCGAAAACAAGAAGAAAGGAAGAGAAAAGAGAAAGGAAAAGAAGAGGCAAGGAAAGCTCCGCTTGTTCACAACCTCTTACGTACAAGGCCAGCCACGTGGATGACAGGTTGAGCGCTGGCTGCCCCCATCCATCCCCCGTGTGTCACGAGGACCCACTTGCACGCAGCCAAAAGGAAAAAAAGAGGAGGTAAAGAAAAGGAAGAGGAGGAAACCAAACCTGACAGAAGAAGAAAGCCTATTAAACAGACAAAGCAAGTGACACATCCCACAGATAATCCAATTACCATCCCACAGAACTTATTTTTCTTTCTTCTTTTTTCTCAGGTTTCTTTTTTTGTCTTTTTCCTTGGTTTCTTTCTTTATTTCTTTCTTTATTTATTTATCTTTTTAGTAGTTTTTACTTGGTTTCTTTTTTTATCTGTTTCTTCTAAACTTTATCTGTCACCCCCTCGGCAGATGGGACAACTACGGCGAGGATGACGGGGATGTTCACAGGGATGCCCAAGGAGGGTTGCGCTAGCACAGCATTCAGCTGGACGGCTAGCACGAACCATCCCATCAAAACAATCCTGACAGAGGGATGTCAAGAGAACAGCAAGACGTTCGTCACAGTGCGGCATCATGCAGTTCTGATAAAGTCCTTGGGAACAGAAAGGACAACGTACATCTGGGTGATAGGGATGTGCACAATGAGGAAATGTTAGACACCCTTCCGCACATACGGCGGCAGTCGCAATGGATTGATAATGGTGCTGACACAGATAATGCATTCCACAACCAAGACGCACCACGTCTCTATCCCGACAAATGTCGCACGAGAAACGCTCAACAATCCAGAACAGTGTGTGATCGGACAAACCTCGCAAGAATTCATTTATGTTGACAATAACCTGAATCACCGTCCCACCATCCCACAGTTCCCACTGGGCAGCTGCACGAATGAGTGCCATATAGTGCCTGGGTTTGTGCAAACTGCATGCAGAAATATGAGGTCGGGCATTCAGGTCCTCGCCTGGCGTCCCATAATGCATGAGAAGGTGGCGACCGTGAAATGCTAACTGTAAGACATTTATAGTAAAGCTTCCTGAGGTAGTATAATTACTATCCTCATGGGGTAGACCATTATGGTCATACAACAACTCATTTTCAACAGCCTCAATATATATATATATATGATATATATATATATACTTGTTCGTCTCTTTAGGTGCCATATACACATTGGTGTCCGCAAGAAAGTGATGAGGGCATGTCGAGCAACCGAAAAAAGAGATGAAAAATCGAGTCCCGCTGGGAAAGACGCACACAGAGGCAGAGGAAACGGAATCAATGCCCGTGTCCAATATGGCAATCGAAAGCTCTATTCTTGTTTCAAAATGACAGCGAAGTCTCAAGGCCCACAGAAAAACAAGGTGTGAATCATATGCTCGAACCTTGTACGTAGCGAGGTAGAGCCGTGTATTCTTCGTGAAACCAATGCCTGCAAGTAGGAGCCCCACTTCCTCTGGAGTCAGTGGACACTTGCCATTCTGCCGCAGCTTATCACTCTCACTGTTGCTGGAAACACCCTCGGGCCATGCAAAGCTGCGGTAGCTATCAAGAGCAATTCTCTGAGCTCTGCCACCTCCATAATCACACTTCGAATGCGCCACCATATCCTTGTCGAAGCGCAGATGGAGGGCCACGTACTTCTCCTGAGGCAAATCGTCAAGCTCCACCGAGATAGGATTTTTTTCTCCGAACTCCTCATGCATCGTGCTATTCTTGGCAGAGGTGGCGGGTCTCCTCGGCGGAAGAGCAGCGCGAGAACTGCGAAGCTTGCGGAAGCCAATCCTTCTTTGCTCCTCTTCAAAGACACTATCTAGCTCCTCGTCAATAGATTGAAAACTGTTCGCAGAAGTTGGCCAGCCTGTCCGAAGGCGATTTATTATCAGGTCGCCGACATTGTGAATTGCAGGCACGAACTTCAGAGCCTGGTAATTAACTCTGCATCTCAGGCGCTGAATATCATCCGGCAGACCATCGAATGTAAGACGATGGGAGAAGGGTGCGATTGCCACAATTCCATACCTGAAGCGTTCACAAAGGGAGACCACGGAAATAGAGAGGTTCAGGATCAGACCAGCTTAGATAACACAGGGAAGATCGCAAAAGCATGCGGCGAAAACGAAACACGGACATCAGATGTACTTTCCGACAAACCAACTGATGTACATTGCTTCTCCTAGAATGCCCTACAATGCAAGTGTACAACTTCACCCACAACGAAAAGCACACAACAAGGTCCCCACTTGCACAGAGAACTGAGCCTGAAAGTTCTGGATCAGACCAACTTAGAAAACACAGGTAAGGTGCCTCGCTCCACTACTCTCGAAATGTGCAAAACGAGAGTGAATTTTCCGCTAGAACATGGAAAGATACATTGACATCTTTTTTGTCTTTTGTGCATGTCGAGAGTAGTGCAGCGAGGCCCACGAATAGGTGTCAGACATCAGAGGTACTTTCTGACAAACCAGCCGATGTACGTTGGTTCTCCTAGAATGCAAACAGGCAACTTCACCCCCAAGGAAAAGCATACAACATGGTCCCCATTGGGCCCACAAGGAAAGGCACACAACAAGGTCCCCATTGCCCGCAAGGAAAAGCACACAACAGGGTTCCCACTTGCACAGACATCGTTTTTCCTAAAATCTAGTGTGCAACTTGACCCGCAAGGAAAAGCACACAACAGGGTCCCCAAGTTCCCCGCAAGGAAAAGCACCCAACAGGGTCCCCATTGGGCCCACAAGGAAAAGCACACAACAGGATCCCCATTGGGCCCACAAGGAAAAGCACACAACAGGGTCCCCTTTGCCCGCAAGGAAAAGCACACAACAGGGTCCCAATTGCCCGCAAGGAAAAGCACACAACAGGGTCCCCATTGCCCACAAGGAAAAGCAGTTTAAACTTTAAAGCACACAACAGGGTCCCCATTTGGCCTGCAAGGAAAAGCGCACAACAGGGTCCCCGCCTGCACAGCGATTGTTTTCTCTAAAATGCTAGTGGGCAACTGTTACATCTTCGACGCCACACGGGTCCTACCGAACCCAACTTAGGGCTAGAGGGACACATTAGGGCCTAAAGGCCCGGACTTGGGGTACAGCAGGCCATAAAGGCCACATTTTGGACCAGACCCAACGGGCAGGCCCAAACGACATTACCGTTTGGGCCTGGCGGCGCTCTTGAGGCTGCCGCCCGCCGGTTGGGGCTGAACCGTCAATCTCGACGGTTCAGGGCACGGCCAGGCCTCGCAGCATTGAGGCCGGCCTCTGCCCCACCGGTACTAAAGACCGGTCCGGCCTCACTTCGAGGTATCGAGCCACCGGCATAACGCTGGTGTGTATCGGTTGGCAGCAGCAGCGCTATTTTGAGCGGAGGAGCGGAGGGCAGCAGCAGCAGCAGCGAGCGAGGAAACCAGCAGCAGCACGGCGGCCATAGCCGCCTCGACAGCAGGACGCGAGGGGTTTCTCTCCTCCCTCCACGGTCCCGTTCCCTCCTCCTCACCTCCATCTTCCCCTCTGCCATCTCTCTCTCTCTCTCTCTCTTCTTCTTCTTCTTCTTCTTCTTCTTCAGACTTCTTCTTCTTCAGACTTCTTCTTCTTCTTCTTCTTCAGACTTCTTCTTCTTCTTCTTCAGATTGGAGACTTCATACTAGTTGGACAGAGATCAGTGTTGGACTTCGGTGGTATGAGGCTGTGGTACTTACCGGATTCGAGACTTGGAGATTGTTGGGGTTGATACTCGGCAGCATCACAGTTCGGACACCGTTTACATTAGGACTGTATCTCCGACATTGGTGACTTATTGTCCTCGACATTTGTTTGATGACATTTTGGACTACCATATCGGTGACCTATCGGATTCTATCTCGATGACCTTCGGTGCTGTCTACCTCCCCCGCCTCCATCTCTCCTCCCACCTTTCATCTGTGTATGTGTGTACGGGGCCTGAGCATCGTCTATGCATGGCTCAGACCCCACCATCTCACGATTGTATGTGTGTGGAGTGATATCTGTGCGAGTCAGTCTATGTGAGTCAGTCCGTTTATCAGACTTCCGTTGCATACATATTCATCCTATAATGGTTGATCTTTGGTTCTGCCCCATACTCAGTGATAAAATCACGAGTACGTAACAGCAACTTGACCCGCAAGCAAAAACGCACAACAGGGCACAGAGAGGTGGGGACCACCTGAACATGGTACTCCATTACGTGGCCAAAGACAGTTTGATTGTTAACACAAATCTATTAGAGCAGACATTGCCATAAAGAGTACGATAGGTAAGATAAGAATGAAAGGTAGGATAATAGAAGCACTGCACGAATAAGGTGTCACCAGCTTTGACATGCGTGCTTTGGTTTCTTCTAGGCAATCAATCCCACCAAATCAGTCGTTCTCGGCTTCAGGTCCCAACCAAAAAGCCAGTGACCAAAGGTAACCGTTCCCTCCGTATTTACAAGCAGATCCTCATTCATAATTTTAACAGAATCTTTTTTTTAATTATATGAGTAAGGACCTTGGCACACCACTTAGGAATCTCATTTTTTCTGTGAGAGCTTTGCATTGCCATACGACGTGCAAAACTCTCACCCAAAGGAAGTTCCACGGGGTGCAATGGGCGCCAGGTCGTGACAGCTCTTGAACCGCAGCGTCTCTCCAGCCTGAAATGATCTCTCCATCCGCCACATCCGGCCCTCAAAACCCTCCAGTTTTCGAGAGTTGGGCTGAGATTGGAAAGGACAAGGGTTTTGTCCTTTTCTCTGGGTGAGTCTGTCCTTTTCCAGCCAACTCTTGAGAGCGACCTGGTCGAGAGGGTTTGTGTGGCCAAAGACGAAAATGTCAAAAACTGAGGGCTCTTGAAATCCTCTGGCACCTCAGAGATTTACGTTTGTTTTCGTGAGTGGGACAGTGAGGCCCTATTAGGATCGGATGTCCTTGGCAGTGCATGCAAAATGAGAGGTTGGGGAAAATCGCAAGACAAAACAGATGTCCTTGCTGATTACCACCCCTCCGCCACCCCCTCTTTTTCCAGTGGGACACACAAGGCTCGCGAGATCAAAAAAAGAAACAGCACTCTAATGAACAAAGGCATTTCTCATATGATTCTGCGGCTTCAAGGATCAGCGTCCTTTGCTGATGTTTTTCTCTCCTACCCAAATGAAGCAATTTCCACGACCCTTATTCTACATATCTGAGCAACATACACAACATACACAGAACAGATTCATACACATAGAGATGATTACATCGACGCTTTCTGTTTTTTCTCTTCTAAGGCTCCGGTTACATAGACGTTGAAGGACAGACTCGTAAAAAAAAGGGCATTCAGGGCAAAACATACAGATGCCACATGCCTGGGTCTGGGCAAGACATATCCAATGCGCTCGTACACCATAAAACCACAGTATGCGGAGAACAAATTGGAACAAGAAAGTTGCTAAAATGGACTTGGGGAAGTGGAGTCAGGGGATGAAAGGTGGTCTTACGGGTTAAAGGTGACAGAAGAGGAGATGAGAGCACCTGGTGAAGATCGTGATGCGCTCAACGGAAAACATGAGGTACTACCTGTCCTCACAAAAGTAGGCAGAGGGGGGAAGAACCTGGTCAAGACTGCAGCGAACTCATTGGCAAACATGGCGGAGTACATCTCCTCACAAAAGTACAAAGAGGGGCAGAAGCTGGGGACCATTGTGGGGAGCTCAACAGCAAAGATGTGGTAGTACCTCTCCTCACAACAGTAGCAAAAGGCTGGTGAAGAACATGGTGAGCTCAATGCCAAGATTGCGGTAGTACCTCTTCTCACAAAAGTAGCAACAGGAGGAGAAAAAGAAGTGGAGTTGCCTCAGGCAATGTGGATGTGGGGGTGGAAATGAAGATTGTGGCGAGCTCAACAGCAAGGACGTGGTAGTACCTCTCCTGACAGCAGTAGCAACAGGCTGGTGAAGATCGTGCTGAGCTCAATCCCAACATTGTGGTAGTACCTCTTCTCACAAAAGTAGCAACAAGAGGAGAAAAAGAAGCGGAGTTGCCTCAGGCAAGGTCGGTGCGGGGGTGGACGTGAAGATCGTGGGGAGCTCGACAGCGAAGATGCGGTAGTACCTCTCCTGACAGCAGTAGCAAAAGGCTGGTGAAGATCGTGGTGAGCTCAATGCCAAAATTGCGGTGAAGTCCTTAAGGACATCCGTTATAATTGGAACGATACAGAGTAGATTAGCATGGCTTTAAATTAAAAAATAAAAATAAAAATAAATTGTGGTAGAAGTAGCAACAGGAGGAGAAAAAGAAGTAGAGTTGCCTAAGGCAAGGTGGATGTTGGCATTAACTGTTCGGAAGAGGGGAAGAGGGTCATAGAAGCTATGTTAAGCTGGGTTTATAAATGTCATCTGCAGCATGCAGGGGCGGGTTCTCGGAAGGAGGGTAAGTGGGGCCCAGAAGCTATATTAAGTCAGGGTTTTAAGCACTTCATTTGCGGCATGGGGGGGGGGGGGGGGTAGGAAGGAGGGGAAGAGGAGCATAGATGCTCTGTTAAGATGGGTCTATGAACACTTACGTTTGCAACAAGGGTAGAACATTCTCCAGATACCATTTCGCAGATGCACGCATGGGCGCATTTTTGACTCGGTTTTCCCTGAACGCACTCGAGTAGTACTCTCGTGTACTCCAGCTCAGGCCCACAGGGAGTTGGGTCTCCACCCGTACTTCATTTTCCAATTGATCAATAAAATATCCTACATCAAAAATGTCTGCAAAGGTGCTAAGGTGTCCCACATAGATTGTGCATTAAAAAAGAGACAAACAATAAGATCTCGATCAGTACACCAGAGTTTTCTTTCCTCTGAAATCAGACTGCACTCCAAACTTGCTCGCAACATGCACACACGCAGACTGATGACAAAACCAAACTCTTTTTTCAACTCTGGAATCACCGATGAACTTGGACTTAAACTCAGTCCAAGTCAACTGTACAACTTGTGGCTATGGCCGCCGAACACCGTCTTCACCACCAGCCTCACTCTCCCTCATGTACACGTCCGAGGATCTACCGTGAATCCCCACACTACATACACACACACTCTGTACACTCTGTCTGCGTCAGCAGCTGGACGGCTATGGCCGCCGTCCTCTTCCTCCTGAGCAGTTGTGGCCGTTGTCTTCCCCACTGCCCACTTCGGCTCCGGGCACCTGCAGACCTCCACGCACAAGTCACCAAGGCAGCACTTCCACATGGCTCACCAGCGAATTAATGAATGGCTGGACGCTGCCTCTGTATTTATACTTCTTCAGAAGTGGCCGGGCCCTCGGCCAAAACGCGTGGGCTGCTGGGCCCCAGAACGCATGTTCTGGACCCTTCAGCATACCGTGCGACCAGAACCTTCCCCCACGTGCAGCCCTTCCCTTATACCTGCTGACCGGACCGGCCTATAGGGACCTATAGCCTTCTTGAGCCTACAGACCTACAGACTGACTCTAGGCCCTCAGTAGACTCAGGTAGAGACTTCTAGAACAGACCTTCCTAAGTTTGTCGGTAACAGACTCAACTACTAACCTACAGACCGAGGGATCAAGTGCAACTTCCCTACCTACGGCCTAACCTATGACACAGGACAGGTCGAAGGTTCGAATCTCACACAGTCACCGGGTAGATGTACAGGGCACAGGCATAGGTCTAGGGATCGAATCTCACTCAGCACACAGTGTCAATGTACAGGGTTCAGGAATAGGTCTAGGGATCGAATCTCAGTATCTGCAATTGTCGTGTCAACTGGGTAAAACCGTTTCACCTCCCTCAACCAACCATTTCTCCCGTCACGTAGAACTACCAGTCTGGAACACAATAAACTTGAGAAAGGGAAAAAAGAAAAAAAAAAGAGGGCGAAAATAACGACCGGAACATCAGACGCTTCTCCTAGCACCTAAACCCCGACACTATCAATTCCTTAGTGTAAGCCAGCACGTTATACACCACCACATGTGATTAAATGACTGTTCACTTCTTGTTGGCTTTGAAGGTTTCGACTCATTCATGTCACCTATGCTGTCCACATTTGCACCAATTCAGGACACAGCAGATGAGGATACCCTTGCGATAGTTCTTGTTAGTTGAAGTCTGACAGGAGCCATCAGCTAGCCCTCTTCAATTCCAGACAGAGGAATCCGCGCACACCGCGTCATGGATTCGTAGTATTTGTATTGATGCCGGAGTCGGTGAAGTGCCCCACAAGAACCTTCGCTTTAAACCACCACTAGCGTTACGGACCAGGTTCTTAGAGGGGGCGGTGACCGGCAGGTGCATGCGGGTCCAATGCAGGGATCGCTGCCAACTTTGGCAATTTTTCGTGCTCAAAGGAGTGGATATTTGCCATACTTTTCCCATTGAGCACGAAAAATTGTCCCATATTTCATTTTTGCAGCAATATCACAAGTCGGCCAACAGGAAAAGTACCCCGACTTCAGCAATTTTTCATGTCCAATACAATACTCTAAAAAGTCTGAAACTTGGAGGGTCCGCAGATTTCGTCGTGATCTTTCTAGGAAAAATAATTCATAAATAAATAAAAATCATTTCAACCCCGAAATAAATCGCGGGGGCAATTCGACGCATATTCCACTTTTGCCACTTCACCACTTCCCCCCACTGTGCTACCGGTAGCCCTCATGGACCTGTGCTACCAGTCGCCCCTAATTTAGGACTGCAGGGGCAGTGGTGGTATAACACCAGCTCACTTCACTCACATTGCTCAAGTGATCCACTGCTTTGGGGGCAGGTCACAGGTTCAATTCCTAGTGAGTTTCTCTTGGACTTGGCATGTGTTAGAAAACAGATGAGGACCCAGGCTGGCGATGACACCCAAGTGATTCACTGTGTCTGAACTCTCAGATGCATTAACTTGATTTTTTTTATTTTTTTAATTGTTTTTTCCACCCAGACGGAATTAGTCCCGTTTCCCAACTCCATGATCGATAGCTATGGTGTTCCCACTTCTGCTTCTGGCAGCTATGTCACCTGCCTCACAACTCTGCTCTGAGCTCTGACTTTTATTCTTTTGAAAAAAAAAAGAGTACATGAATATCAGAACGAGTTTTGACATTCTTAATTACTCTGCTTTAAGAACATGAATATCAGAACACCATTCAAGCTTGGAACTGCTCTACCGTCTTCACCTGAATAGAACGTACAGTCATTATCTGGACTAAAAATTGCGTCAAATATATACCTATAAAGAGTATTAAAGACCCTATACTCTATTCGTGAGAAGACGGTGGTTTTCCACTCAACCACAGGTTGGCACCACTCTGAACAACTAGCAGCTTACATTCAAATGACAGATCACGTTAGCTCTCTCTTTCTCTTTCCATGCAAATCTTCTGTGCATCGTTCCAAATTTAACGGATGTCAGAAAGGACCACATTAGCTCTCCCATACCATCAAGTTCAATCATTCCCACTTTGCAAGGAAGAGCCAGTCACTGTTTTGTGCTGAGCTCAACTGACACTGGGCTTTCGAGTCGTAACACCGAGCACGGCCGTTTTATGCTGTCATGCCTGTTAACAAGCCCCAATTTTAGGTAATGTACAGGGCACTACAGGAGCGCCCAGATTCATCCAACTAGACGCGTTTCTACTCTATTTTTCCACGGCCGATAGCTGGACCAAATACTTGTGGTTTAATGAAACCCGCTAGATGTCGAATGCAGAATCCGTTAGGACTAAACTTCACTAAAGGTTTGTAGAATGGGGGGAAAATGTCATCATAACCGGTGACCCAGACACCGGACCGATCCGGACAGAAAACCAGACACGCATCCGGAATGATCCAGATGTCTGGAAATCCGTGCAGGTACCGGACATCTGGATAGCACCGGACCCGGACCGTCCGGATGGGTTCCCGGACCCAAAAAACGTCTGGATCGGGGAAACGTACGATACAGAGAAGATTAGCATGGACCCTGCACAAGGATGACACGCATAAATTGAGAAATGGTCCAAAGAAAACAGAAGGACATTAAGAAAAAATACTGAACACCTTACTGTCTCACTTGAGATGCAACAAGTGTGGGTAACAACACTTCCCTTGTTACAGGTCCCTCCTCTTCTTCCCTGCCCCCCCCTCCTCCTCCTCCTTCTTCCACCATGTGCGACTTCAAAAGCGTACGAGAGAGAGAGAGAGAGAGAGAGAAAGAGAGAGATCCTCGCTATCCTCAGTCCACCATGTTCGCCCTCTCCGCCCCTTCTTCCACCTCTTCCTCCCTAGTAGTCCTACTACTACACCTTTGATGTCCCTATTCCTTCTCCTACACCTCGATGTCCCTCCTTTTCTTCCCCATCAACCCTCGCCATCCACCTCCCAACAACTCCACGGTGGTACTACCCCTCCCTCCTGTTCCTGATCCGGGCCCCTCCCGTCCTCGATATGGTGGCCATGGTCAATTCGCTGGAACTTAGAGAGAGAAAGAGAGAGAGAGAGAGAGAGAGAGAGAGAGAGAGAGAGAGAGAGAGAACACATCTAGATGTGTATAAGAGACAGATCTTCCCCTCTGCCATCTCTCTCTCTCTCTCTCTCTTCTTCTTCTTCTTCTTCTTCTTCTTCAGACTTCTTCTTCTTCAGACTTCTTCTTCTTCTTCTTCTTCAGACTTCTTCTTCTTCTTCTTCAGATTGGAGACTTCATACTAGTTGGACAGAGATCAGTGTTGGACTTCGGTGGTATGAGGCTGTGGTACTTACCGGATTCGAGACTTGGAGATTGTTGGGGTTGATACTCGGCAGCATCACAGTTCGGACA